CCATTTTTCTAGGTAGAACTCTACAAACTGTTCGTAAGACTTGATGAGATGTATGCATATAAGATCATGTTCTGTGTTAAGCTAAATGCTGCAGGCTTGGGTGTCTTGTATCTATTCATCTGTCAAACAAACAGCTGTTGGTTTTTGCTACATTTAACTACCATGAATAGCATTTTGTAAGCCCTAACAGAATGTAAACTTCATGTTAATTTTAAGGAGCTGTTGACACATCCCTAGTATTAACTGTTTCATATGCTTCAAGTTCTTGTTTTCCACAAGATGTATGTAGCTGCTGTTTTCTTTTGTAAAGCTCTCTTTACATTAAATTGTTTGCTTAACACCTATTCTGTGAAGTTACTGTCTTCAGTTTAAGATTAATGTGATAAGGTATTCCCAGGATGATCCATTTCATGTGTTTCAATAATAAGAACCAATCTTCAATCATCAACAATTTGGTTTAAATTTTGCTTTTTTCCTTTAATTTTTGACACTACTTGATTGATCATACAAATCATTAAATAGCAGTTTTCCTAGTAATATTGTAAAGCTTCACTACGCAAAGTCCAAACAGCAAATTTACAGTCTTCTTCCTACATAGGAAGAGTTTGTGCATATTAAGATTGTGTTCCTGCACCTAGATCATGGGAAAACTCAGTTTCCTACCTGAAATCATAGCTGTTACATACAAAAGCATTTGCCATGTGTGCGAAGGCTTCTTTCCTGTGGAGCTGCATAAAGAACAGCCTTTCATCCTACCTTGCTTATTCTGGGGTATACTTACAATGGTAAAATTGTATTATAAAATGGGGTTTTCCATTCCAACCATAGTCAAATAGACTTTTTTTTTATGAGAATGAATCTATATTTCTTTATAATTTTCCAGTAATTTTTCTTGTATGGGTTTTTTTCCAATGTGAAAATGAGGAAGACAAAACTTCATCTGTACTACTTTCTGTGATGAGTACAGAAATAGGGTATATAAGATATTGTGATGAGAGTTATGTTCAGCCACTAATTCTTGGAAATTCCTCATTTACAGTTGAATTTTCAAAAATATGTCATAATACAGCAGAAAACAAACTTACATTGTTTTATTTGGTAAAGCAATTTTTAAATGTAAGATTATTTAACCTATATTCCTGAAAACATTACTTTGCAGTGAAGTTGTTAACCCCCAGTCTGTGACCACATAATTATGCCAGAGTTCAGACCTTACTACTATGCAAACGGTATACAACACTTTTAATGCATGGTATCAATTCAGTTGCTTTACAGATTACAACTTTATTACCAAAAAAACCCCTCTGAATTGTTTGCTTATACACAAGTTGTATAAATAAATCTTGCAAATTCCTTGTGACAAGAGTTTGCTTGGGGTTTTATCATTCTGCTTTTATTTTTTTTTTTTTTTTTATTTGAGAACATGCCCTGCACAAGTCAAATAGGAAAAGATGCAGGCATTGATTCTTGTGCAAGCATTCCTTATAAATCATACTCCAGCTGTCTTGGACATAAGTATGAACTGTTAATCACACCAGACTGGTGCACATCATGTTATGACAGAAGGGACACAATGTTGAAATTTCAGTGGAAGTTTGATTTAACACTTTCTGAAGAGCTCTTACTTTGCAAATTGATGTAAGCAAGCCACTCAGCTATTTAACAGGCTGAGGTGGGGAAAAGAGCAGAAGGAATATACAGAACTAAGCTTACTGTGTCCACTGCATTTTGTGCACTTAGAGGTAAATTCAGATGGCTCTCTGTCTCTGCCCTGGGCACCTTCCACTCAACCAGATTGATCAAAGCCCCATCCAACCTGGCTTTGAACACTGCCACGGCTGGGACAGCCACAACTTCTCTGGGCAACCTGTTTCACTGTCTTGCTCAGTCACAGTAAAGAACTTCCTCATGTCTAATCTAAACCAGCAGGAAGAACCCACACAAGCAGTCCTGCCAAGGTGAGAGATCAGCCACTTGTAACAAAACCAGCAATGAGAAGGAAAACCAGCAATGAGAAGGAAAACCAGAAAGTTCTGGTCGTTGGGAATTCCTTCCTCTGTGGAACAGAAGTACCCCTTTTTGAAAAAGAGGGCCAGACCCTCTTTTCAGGGACCCAAATTAGGAATGCCACCACAAGTTTGAAGAACACATTTCAACCTTTAGACTACTATACATTTCTGCTCTTTCGCATAGATACAAATGATGTTGAAATAAAAACTCTGAAATCCATCAAAAGAGACTTCAGAGCCCTGGGAAGAATGCTAAAAAATTCAGGAGCACATGTACTGTTTTCCTCAATCCTCTCAGTAATGGAGAGAGACTTCAGAAGAAACAGGTAAGCCTAGGATACTTGGCTTGAGGACTGGTGTCTCCACCAAAACTTTGGGGGTTTGACATGGATGAGCCTTTGAGAGACAAGGTATGTTGGGGCCTGACAGGATCCACCTGTACTGATGGGGAAAACGGGGTTTTGGGAATAAACTGGCAGGTCTGATCAAGAACTAGGACTTATGGGGGAAGCAGATGCCAACAGGACTGCAGTAGGTAAGCCGAGAGTTGGCATGGTATCATCCCAGGGTGGCAATCCCAGTGGGACTATTTATACCACTCCTGGGAGTGCAGAAAGCTCAGAAGCGTATCTGAAATGCTTGCACAACAATGCGCACAGTATGAGAAAAAAATGGGATGAATAGAAGTGTTGGTGTTGTGGTTTAAGCCTAGCTATCAAATAAGTACCACACAGCTACTTGCTAATACCTCTCCACCCCCAAGTAGGATGGGAAGAAGAATCAGAAAATATAACCATTGGGTTAAGAACAGTTTAATTATTGAAATAAATTAAAATATAATAATAGTAGTAGAAATACTAAGATGAAAAACAGACAACCCCAGAAAAACAAGTCAATGCACAATACAATTGCTCACCATCTGCTGACCGATACCCAGCCCATTCCCAAGCTGTGATGAGTATCTTCCAGCCAATTCCCCCCAGTTTATATATGGGGCATGATGTGCTGTGGTAGGGAATACCCCTTTGGATATTTTGGGTCACGTATCCTGTCTCTGCTCCCTCCCGGCTTCTTCTGCCCCTCCTCACTGCATGAGAGACTGAAATGTCTTTGATTGGAATAAGCATTACTTAGTAACAACTCAAACATCAGTGCGTTATCAGCATTGTTCTCAGACTAAAGCTGAAATACAGCATTGCACCACGTACTAGGAAAAAAAATAATTCCATCACAGTCAAAATAAGTTGGTCAGCTGCTGGAGATACAATTTCATTTGATATTGGTGAGACTTGGAAAGAGTTCCTTCCAACTGAAACATTATTCTGTCCTTTGAATGCCAGATGCCTTTGCTTTCAGCAAATAGTTTTAACCTGTTGTAAACACCAAATGGTCAGTCTTGGCACTGGGGTAGCCTCAGCTTTCAGAAATAGGAAATCTTTCTGTGATGCTAGTGGGTCCTTCAGCTGTATGTCAGTGCAGTGGGTGGTTGGCTAAACTTGGCGCAGATCTTTGAGGGTCTCCTCCCTCATCAGAGCTCTGAGAGCTTTCTCTGCCCTTGTAGGCCAATTATCCCTAGTGTTGTATTCTGCTTATTGTTTTAGTTATTTTTAGTGCCTGCAAACACATTTCTGCAACTGCTGTCAGCAGGGATCCTGCATTTTTACACCCCTTAAGGCTTCTGCAAGTGATTTTATCATTTCCTCAATTTTGCTGTCCATTTCTCTTTGTGGTTCTGTTTGTACATCTGTCTACATCAGTTTGCAGAGTCAAATTAGGTATTTCAAAAACTGAGCAACTCGCGTCTGATAATTTCCTGCGTAAATTGTGCAGTGTTACACTAAATGTCATATTAACCATGAATATCCGGAGTGCTATCATAATCATTGTTATGAGGGTTAGCGTATTAGAGAACAGACATTGCTGCAAGACTTTAAGACTTTAGGTAAACTACCCAGCTGAACATAACAGAACATAACATGAACATAACAGAATCCTGATTTTGATAAATAAATTTTCTGTAAGTTTTCATTTGGAAGAGGAAGAGGAAAAAAAAAAAACACACAAAAAAATATAGTGTTTACCAGCCCAATTTCCATCTAACTGAAACCCTAACCTGTAGATGACAGATTAAGGAGAGTAGATAAAATAGAGACTCTTGCTCTAGTTTAGATTATATTCTTTGCTCACAGGTGGCAAAATACATGCATTGTTACCAGTGGGTCTTCCCCTAGCACATGTTGTGGTAGGAAGTACTTTTCTGCTTTCAGTTACTTTGTGTTTCACAGGAGGTAAAAGAGATTTTGCACAACATCTGAAGGAAACCAGAACTTTTATTAGTAAATCAGTGACCCTCTGTACCTCTAAAAATCAAATTATAGTTGTGAAGTTCTGGACTGCTGAGCTCCTCTGAATTTACCCCAGCCTTCTGAAGGGAAATATTGCTGTATTTTGCTTCCCACATTTCTTAGGTTTAAGAAAAAGGCAAAAAAAAGAAAAAGGCAAAAAGCCCTCTATGTTTCTAGTAGTGCTCAGCTGAAGTTGCAGTTTCACTCTGCATGGAATTGAAACTCGTATGCTCTTGGCTGTGTGACAGCAAGCCTTCCTAATATGAATTAAAAGAAACCAAACCAGCCTTAGCCCAAAAGAAAAGGTAAAGTGTCAGTACAACTATTAGAATTTCCAAAGTTTGTAGGTATAGACTGCAAGGAAGATCTCCAAAGGCACCGAGCACCTGTCAAGAATTACAGGGTTGGGTGATGGGCCACTGTGCTTTAGAAAACCTACTTACAATCTAAGTGAGTAGGCATTAAGGATCTCATGTTCAAGCATAATGTATCACAGACGTGGTTAGGTGCTTGAAGAAATCAACTTTCACAATCCAGTGTGGGCCAAGTTATTCTCTTATTCACAATGAATTAAGCAAATTTGCTTTTTAATAAGGTGAATAACTGAATGAAAGCTGTATTTCTCTTCTGGTGGTACACAATCTAGGAGACATTCGCAGTAGAATAGCTAGCATAGGGTGTTTGCAATTAAGGTTTTCCTCCTACCAGAAATGCATTGAATGGCCTTGCAGAAGGCAGCAAGGATTTTAGTGAGATGTCTGCTTTAGTTATGATAACCCACAATGAAAACCTCAGTGCCTCTTGTGTGAAAAGTAAATTCCAGTTACCAATAAATAGCAGAGGAATTGTACTTTATTTGGGTACTTCTAGTAATCAGGCACAAAGGTGAGCAATATAGTCCTGAGCCTATAATTAATTAATGAGCCCTTTCCTAGGCCTTAATTAAAATGGTAATAATGCTGTACACTTTCTTGGTTTTCTTTATGTCTGTAAGACTCTGCCACTAAAACCAGGGAATTTTAAAGTATGATTGCAAATTCTTTCTGTGTTCATTTTTCAGGTTCCAGTCTTCCAAAACGATCCAGTCTGGCTCCATCTCAGTCAGAGAAATTATGAGCTGCTATTTAAAATATAAAGAAAAATACATAGGGAAAGAAGATATAAAAATCTCCAACCACCCCATCTAATAAATATCATAACCATTCAACTACTCTGTCCTGCTAAGCATAAGAACTTCTAAGAAAGAAGCTCTCAGACACTGTGTTCCATGAAAAGCTGGACTGTCACCATCTGAAGCCTAGCAGTGTCATTATTAACTTGGTCCCTTCTATGCTCTCCCACAAAGTTTTAATTTCTTTTGTACACTGTTTCCTATGCCCTTACCACTACCCTTTTTTCCTGGTTTATTTTGGTTCCCTTCCCCCAGAGTCCCTTTCACTTAATAGACATTTATTCCGCAGAGTATTCAGCTTAAGAGATCTGTCCTAGTTCTTGAAGTTACAAAAGAAAGAAACACCAAATTATATTTATGAAAATTACCAAATTTTCAAATTTGAAACACTGTTAGTAGAAATTAATAATTTCTGTCTCTCTGTGCAGCTTACATTAAAAAAAAAGGGGGGGCAGGAAAGAAGGAACTTGAGCTTCTGCAAATCTTAGTTGTCTGAAGTGAATGTTACCCTTACGTAGCATACTAGTGTCCTAGCTGACTGATCTCATGCTGTGTCCCCAAATATTTTGCAATTGTCTTCCTTTGGGGCTTCCTGTGGCTTGGATGTTCATCTTTCTGGAGCAGATTTTATTATAGTTCTTTATGGTATAACACTGTAGGTAGGTAAAATACACAGTTTGAAATTTAAACCGTGTTCAAGTGTAGCAAAGAAGAGAGCAAATTGCAACATGAGACCAAAACGCACATGGATGCATGAGTCATGTGAGAAGTTGTAGGAAAATGACAAAAAAAAGTACTCAGTTATTTTTATGGGGCGTGGAGGAGTAAATGAAGTACTGTTGTTTTAATTTGAACTACAAATGTTTGAGGAAGTAGGTTGCAGCAGTTGTTTCACATTTAATTGTTTTTTCAAGTTGCAGTCCAGCTGGAGAGTAGTGATAGTGATTAGAGCTGTTGTCTTGAGTGAGTTATGTCACCTTACACTCTTCTCTGCACCTGAGCTGAACCAGTGGGGACCTCTTTTATGCTGTTTTTTTCCTGCTTCGATTTACAGTCTCCTCCAGTGACAAATCTGCCAGATCTGAAGCACACAGAAAATGGTAGGTTAAACTTTCATTTTAAATTTGCTTTTAAACCTTTTTGACTGGAACTGTTGTGGAAAGCCAACAAGACCATATTCTGCTTTTCTGCTTTCTAAATATTCCAATTTACTATTGTAGCTAGAAGCTGCAATACATAATGCGAGGAAAGGAAAGCATTTATTTGAGCCTAAATGGCTACTATTTAATTGTACTGCTGTGCTACAGAATGAGTATAATAATGTCTTTTCTAACTGCTGTATCTTCTGAGGTGCTCTTTTTTCTCTAGCTTTTTCCTCTGTCACCATTTAAAGTACATATGGAACACCTACAGAAAAAAAAAAAAGAATACTTCAGAAACATCGAACTGTATTGTATTTGAATACCCTAAATCAGTATGGGTTCATGCATATGCTGGTTAATATCAACAAATTAGTACTTGGTTTACATCTTGCAAAGCCAAATGTTCATGTGTATACTCTAGCTGAGCTTTCAAACTAGCAAAGACATTGCACAAGTCAGTGTTTCTTGTTTCTTCTAATTAAAACAATCTTTTTTTATTTGTTCTTGTACTGTAACAGTGTTACACATGCAGATAGATAGACACAGCACCAGAATTTAGCAGTTTACAGTTAAGACAGCTAATGCATTAAAAAGGTATCAGGAAACAAAGTTATACAAAGAAATGAAGCACAAAGATGGTAGGAGATAGGCTGGCTCTGCAACAACACTTAGGTTCTTAAAAATACTGCAATATGTAAGAGCTGAAAATGTGAGCATTCCGAACATCTCAAAAGGCATTTTTTTGACTTCTTAAGAAACACACAAATATATTCATGTAGACATTTAAGGCCCAGATTCATTGCAGTTAATTTTAGGCACTTAAACCTGCAGTGTTAGTCTCTGTTCGGTGTGCAGTCGGGTAGACTTCCATCTTCAGAGCTGAGCAGTGCCTGCAGGGCCTCCCTTGCATCTCTTCTGCTCTCTCTTGAATGTCAGTACAGCCCAGTTTGATGTCAGTGAATTGAGGAACTTGGGTAAGTGCCTAAAATTAGATGCCTGAGTGCAGTGGCCAGTATGAGTATGTAAAAAGTTTGTGTCAATCTCACGTTGTCCAGCTCCTACTCTAGTGCTTGGCCAGAGGGTCTTAATTTGGTTTAGAGGATCTTTAAAGGTTAATGCTAATTAACTTTTCCTCAAGAGCAGCAAATCTGTAGTTTGACCCCCAGTTAGCAGCAGATGTTTTCCTTCCTTCTTTTAAAGGAAGATAGGCTGCTGGAGTTTGAACTGTGGCAGTTGTCAGTATCTTCTTTCATGGCTGCATGTACTGTGTTCGTGGCTGGTGAGGGTCAGCAGTTCATGGTCTGCTGTGGCATGCATGGGTGGATAAAAATAAATGGCATCCATGAGATAGAGCAACATACCCTGCAGTGCAGATCTCCGTGGTTTCTTTGCCACCTCTCTGCTGTGCACCATGGGCACCTGCCTTGGCCAATGACCTTGGCTCCTGGAGTACATTGGTCTGGTAAAGCAAGAGATGGAAGTAAGCGAGAGCTGGGGTACCAAGGGCCATTCAGTTAGGATAAGAACTCTTTGGTTTTCATCAATCTAATAAAGTCTTTTACATGCATTATATAGTGTGTCCTTTGAAAAAGAAGAAAGGCAAAATATTTACAAGAACATACTCAGATTTTTCTTCAGCAATGTTCAAAGAAAGACCATGAGTTTTCCATTCTAACTGATATCAATGGTAGAGGCCTTCCTTCTCCCTCCCATATGCCTGCCCATATAATACGGGTAAAAAAAAAAAGAGTTCCAAGAAAAAAAGCTAGGGTGGCAGGAGGGAATGAATGTGCTTTACCTTCTCCAAATTGGCTCACCACTTACTCTGATTATCCTTATTCACCATATTCATCCAAGTGCTTGTCAATACTAGGAAATCAGAAAAGTTCATCATCCTCTAAACTTGATTGATTAGACCATACTGAAGACACTGGTGAACTGTCTTACCCAGTAACCTCTGTCTGGGTGAGTTATTTTCATTCTTAACAAATGAGTCCATGAGGGCTGAAAACAATTACATATGAATTTACAGTCATGGCCAGGTTATTCCAGGTCAGCTTTCCTTGGAATGATAGTCATGGCTACCAGCTGGGACATTTACCTACACTGCTTTTTTTTTTTCATGAAAATCAGCTGAAAAGAAGAAACCACCATAGCACTTCCTGGCAATGGGAAACTGTGGTAGAAGAAAGGCTGTGGTGTAGCACAGTAGTAGGTTACACTGAATTTGAGGTCTGCAGTGGATTTTTACTTTTTTCCTTCTGCAATTCAAAAGCTGACTGAACAAATCCCCAGGGTGACTCCCCTTGGCTGTTAAATCCAGATAGCAGAAGTGGGGTGCTGTGTGAGACTTGATCTGGGTTCTCTACCCATCTACTGCCCTGCTAGTCCCCAGAGTACACCTCCAGATACACAGATACATAGGTAGATTTAGCACAGTAACCTCAGCTAATGCACGCAACAGAAGCCTCAATCTCTCTGTCACTTGCAAGGCATGTCTTAGACAAAACTCACCAGGGTTTTCACATGCTGTTTCAGAGGGTCTTTATATATTTTTGTGTCCCAGCTAAATAGAAAAAAAAAACTTTTACACGTGTCTTGAATGCTTTTCCTAATCACCTGATTTTCAGCTGCTTAACTGGGTATTTACATTTAGTCGATCTTATTACAAGCATAACTAATACTGGTTGTTTAAGAGCACTCTGTGTACCATGCATCTTCCAGGCCTTCTACACTGAGTTTTCCAGGGAGAAACCATGATGTTCATTATTGTGGGGTTTTTGTCTTTAAATCTCTTGACCAGCACCAGACACAGGCAGTTAAGGCTGTGCAACAGAAAAATAGTCATGGCCCCTTTGCCTGTGCTAGACAAGCCATGGCAGGAAGCCTGCTTGCCTGGCTGGCTGCCTCTGGCCAGAGGGATGGGGTTGCTTTGACAGTGACTGTTACTGAGGAAGTAACTATTAAGTTGTGAAAAGCTTATTGCTCTTCCCCTAAAGACAGAAATCTATAAAACAGGCAAGACCACAAAGACTTGACAGATAGAGGGCATATTTTGGAAGGTTCTTTAAATGCCTGTAGGACTTTGCCTCTATTTGTTTACTGCTTATTACTCTTTTATGGGACATAATCAATCTTAAGTCCATGAAAATCTTTCATTTTTACATTTGCATTGCTACAGTGCCCTCTTGGAGCTCTGTCCTTATTGGCCCGTGAAAATGCAAAGGGGTATTAAACCATATAGAAGTATAGCCACTGACTGGCTTAAGTTGACCATCTATCCATTCTACTACATATTAGAGGAAGAATCCCTATGATAATGTGAAATTTGAAATAGGCACACACCTGTTAGTATGGTTTTACATGATTTTCACATGCTTCAAAAACCTAATTTTGCTTGTTTATGCTATTATACAGTGGAAAACTGATGGATGTTTAACACCTTTAAAGAAGAAAGTTCACAGAGACATAGCCTTTAATCACCTGCCTTGTCATTTTTTTCAGTAATTTTTTTTTTACGATTCATTATTTAAAGAGTGATAGTTATCTTAACACTCTGATACTCAGTAATAAGAAAGAAAGCATTTGAGGAAATACTAACATATGCCTCCCCCAAACTTATAATCCTCCCTATACATCCAGTTCTAGCCAGTGTGAGAGACAGGACCGCAGGCTAGCTGTGTATTTTGTCTGACCAAGCACTTGCTTGACCTAATGTCCTATGACATGCTCTCATCACATTAAATTAATTCTTCCCTATTTCCTTATTTTAAGGTACCTCATGCAAAGATGTCAAACGTGCTGCCGTTTGTCTTGCTCTTCCCATTTCCGATGCTGCTGTCAGGAACTTGGTTTCCCAAAAGTTTACCCTGTGATGTTAATACCTTCGAAGGTACTGTGACAGTGGACTGCACCAATCGGCGTCTCCTGGAAGTCCCCAGAGGAATCCCTGCAAATGCTACCAACCTTACCTTAAGTATTAACCACATCCCCCATATCAATCCGGCATCCTTTGCCCATCTTGTAAACCTTGTGGAGATTGACTTCAGGTGCAACTGTGTGCCTGTCAGAATGGGGCCCAAAGACCATGTGTGCACCACACACCCGAAGATCGAGAATGGCAGTTTTGCTGCCCTGACCAGATTGAAGTCATTGTATTTGGATGCAAACCAGCTGTGGGAAATACCCTGGGGTCTTCCTACTACTTTAAGTCTGCTGAGCCTGGAAGCAAACCATATCTTTTCTATCCAAAAAGCCAATTTGTCAGAGCTAGGAAACATAGAAGTGTTGTATCTGGGACAGAACTGTTACTACCGTAATCCATGCAATGTTTCATTTGAAATTGAAAAAACAGCCTTTCTGGAGCTGAAAAAATTAACAATACTATCCCTGAAGTCTAACAACTTAACTCATATTCCTCCCAATTTGCCATCTACATTAAAGGAATTATATATTTACAATAACAAGATTCAAGTGATTCAAGAACATGACTTGAGTACCCTTCACAACCTAGAAATTCTTGATTTAAGTGGTAACTGCCCACGCTGCTATAATGCCCCATATCCTTGTATTCCCTGCCCCAAGAGCACAATTGAGATACATTCAAAGGCCTTTTATTCCTTGAAAAATTTAAGAACTTTGCGACTTCACAGTAACTCTATTCAGAGCATACCCAGTAGCTGGTTTAAAAACTTAAGGAATCTCAAACAGCTTGACCTCTCCCAAAATTTCCTCATAAAGGAGATTGGAGATGCTCAGTTTCTGAAGTTTATCCCCAGCCTTGTAGAGCTTGACCTGTCCTTTAATTTTGAACTGAAGACGTATTCTCCAACCTTGAATTTGTCTAAGTATTTTTCTTCCCTCTCTAACCTGGAAACTCTGAGGCTCAGGGGTTATGTCTTCAAAGAACTGAGAGAAGGAAATCTAGATCCATTGCTCAGTCTTAGAAATCTAACAGTTTTGGATCTTGGGACTAATTTTATTAAAGTTGCTGACCTGAGTGTGTTCAAAAAATTCCCATCTCTTAAACTCATAGACCTCTCAGTGAATAAAATTTCTCCTTCTTCAGGTGAAAGCAACTTTTATGGGTTTTGCTCTAATCCTAGGATTTCAGTAGAGCAATACAACAGGCAAGTATTAGAGGAAATGCATTATTTCAAGTACGATGAGTACGGGCGAAGTTGCAGGTCCAAAGACAAAGAGGCTGCTTCCTACGAATCTTCAGTCAAAAAAGACTGCCTGAAATATGGAGAAACTCTGGATTTAAGCAGAAACAACGTATTTTTTATTAACCCCTTAGACTTCCAGGGACTTAGTTACCTCCGATGCCTCAACTTGTCAGGTAATGCAATAAGTCAGACTTTAAATGGAAGTGAATTCTCCTACTTGTCTGGATTAAAATACCTGGATTTTTCTAACAACAGGATTGACTTGCTATACTCAACTGCTTTCAAGGAGTTGAAACTTCTAGAAATTCTAGACCTAAGCAATAACAAACATTATTTTCTGGCAGAAGGTGTCACTCACATGCTTAGTTTTATGAAAAACTTGGCCCATCTGAAGAAGCTGATGATGAATGAGAATGAAATTTCTACCTCTACTAACACAGGAATGGAAAGTCAGTCTCTTCAAATCCTAGAATTCAGAGGAAATCGTTTAGATGTTTTATGGATGGATGGGAATGCTAGATACTTGTCATTCTTCAAGAACCTGACTGGCCTGGAAGAACTGGATATTTCCTTCAACTCTCTTAGTTTTTTGCCTTATGGTGTTTTTGAAGCTATGCCTCCAGAACTCAAAATCCTCAACTTAACTAACAACCAGATGAAGAGTTTCAAATGGGAAAACCTGCACCATCTGAAAAAACTAGAAACTCTGGACCTCAGTAATAACCTTCTGGCTACTGTTCCCCAAGAACTGTCCAATTGCTCTTCAACAGTCCAAAACCTGATTCTCCGAAACAATCACATTCAACGGCTGAGCAAACATTTTCTCAGAGGTGCCTTTAAACTGAAATACTTGGACCTCAGCTCAAACAAGATCCAAATAATTAAGAAATCTAGCTTCCCTGAAAATGTCATTAACAACCTGAAGATGCTGCTGTTGCATGGCAATCCTTTCAAGTGTAACTGTGATGCTGTGTGGTTTGTTTGGTGGATCAATCAGACTCATGTGACTATTCCTCTTCTGGCCACAGATGTGACCTGTGCTGGCCCAGGAGCACATAAAGGAAAGAGCGTGGTTTTCTTGGATCTGTATACCTGTGAGCTGGACACCTCATATTTGATCCTGTATGCTCTGTCAGCTTCAACTGTCCTAGGCTTTATGGTGTTCACAGTGATGAGCCATCTCTATTTCTGGGATGTGTGGTATAGTTATCATTACTGCACTGCCAAGTGGAAGGGCTATCGCCATTTACCTTCACCAGATGCTTGCTATGATGCCTTTATTGCCTATGACAATGAAGATCCAGCTGTGAATGAATGGGTGATGGAAGAACTGGTTGAAAGGCTGGAAGATGAAAGAGCCAGACAGTTCAACTTATGCCTGGAAGGAAGGGACTGGCTCCCAGGACAGCCAGTCTTTGACAACCTTTCCCAGAGCATTCAGCTGAGCAAAAAGACCATATTTGTACTGACCAACAAGTATATTAAAAGCGGCAACTTCAAGACAACATTTTACATGGCCCACCAGCGGCTTCTAGATGAAAAAATAGATGTCATTATCTTGATATTTCTTGAGAAGGTTTTGCAGAAGTCCAGGTATGTTCGGCTGAGGAAGAGGCTGTGCAGAAGTTCTGTCCTGGAATGGCCAACTAACCCTAGATCTCAGCCCTACTTCTGGCAGTGCCTGAAAAATGCAATAGCTATGAACAATACCCTGGCTTACAACAAGCTTCTCCAGGAAACTGTTTAGCTCTGCCCTTCCTGTAAATATTATTATGATGCATGATGAGAAAAATATCCTAAACTTCATTTGGAGAAGCTGTCAAAGTGTAGAGGATAAATGTTAATTGTGATATTGTACCCCAAAAAGAAACGCACAATTAGTCCCAAATGATAGTTCACTTGTTTTGCTATGACAAGACAGAACAGAAACTGTTGCCAGCATGGATGTTTAGCTGATATTCACCCTGCTTGGCACTGACTGCTGCACAACAAGAGAAGATGCACTACCTACTGGAAGTCCCTGGTTTAGAACAGAATCACCACTTCCAGATTTCAGTTCACTGGAGGCCTCCAGCACGACCTGTGGTTGGGTCAGGTGTGGGTGAGACACTTGCTCAGCTTATCCTAGTACACAGATTGCCAGGAGGAGTTTGGCTGTGCCTGAAGCTGCTGCTGTTCAGATCTCTGTTGGAGTAAATGTAGTTTTAACAGAAAATTATAGTTTCTGTATTTGGTGTATTTATGGAAAACAAGAAAAGTATCTGCTGACACATTTGTCTCAGAAAATACCTCAAGCAGAGCTCATATTTTAATTTTAGGAGTTGGGAAAATCTAAGAATGATTATCTTTTCATCTCAGGCTTACAGCTGCCAAGCCTACCGCTTCTGAGGGGACAACAGCCCTAATCACTGGGGAGAGGAAGTTCAGGTGGGACTGCTGTCAGGGGCTTGGGTTGTGGTATGGGAGCTCTCCCTCTGTTGTGTTGTCCAAAAGCTCACTAGCCTGAAGAAACTCTGAAGAACATGTATGAGCTAAAATGGGAAGCTATGTGAGAAACAAGTTCAAAAGGGTTTGCAGGCTGTAGGCTGGAAGGAGTTACAAGGTAAAGAGAGTCCTTGTGCATGGAGCTGCTGTGTGGGAGCAAGAAGGGGGAGCAGGACAGCAGAGGCTAAAGAAGAGGCACAAGGCAGGTGAAGAGAATCAAGTAAAACAGAGGAAGTGGTAAGTGACGAATGTAAAGAGAGAAAAGAGAAAGAAGATGTGGAAATAATGGAGGAAAACACAGCTAAACTAGGGCATGACAGCAGTTAAATTAAGCATTTACTACTAATTTCCAAGTAATCTCTTCATTCTGCCTTTCACCTGCTTCCTTGGCTGCTGGCTGAGCTGGCTCCTCCCTGAGGACTAAGGTCTCCTCTCACATGCTGTGCTATTAGCTTTAGGAGCTCGGCTTCCCTGTTTCCACCCAGGTCCTGTGTTACAGCCCCTTGTATATTAACTGGGATGGTGCTTGCAGGTCTAGCCAGGGCTGGGGCCTGGAGCCATGCTAAAGTGGCTGACTCCCCTCCATCTGTTCAGACCTTCTCCAGAACAAAACACAGTCACTCAAAGTGCAAAACATGTACAAGGAAAGCACCCATCCCACTGTTTGTTTGTGCTATGTCCTTCAGAGCAGCCTCGGGCCCTCCTTCACCTCCTTGTTCCCTAGGCAGGCCCCTCTCCCTCAGCAGTATCTGGGGCACCACTAAAAACCTTAGCTGGGAATGGGTCTGACTTTAGAGATGTATCCTGAAAAAGGGAAGAAACACTGCTCAGAAATACAAACACTTGGGCCTGTTCCCCACCCCAGTTCACAGCAGAACCTCATCAAACATATGACAGTAATACTTCAGCTGAAGCCTAAATCTCTGTGCATGGCACAGGCAGGCTCTCAGCTTGCTGTGATGATTACTCTCTGTTTCAGAAGGGCAGCATGCTCTGACCTTGCTGGGTGCTCCTGTCCACAGCACAGCCTAGGCAGCTTGTCCCCTCTCTCAAAGCATTTTTTCTTTTCTCACAACCAGTCTTGGCAACAGTTCTAACTCTTAGGGAACCAACACTCTTAACTGCTTTGAACCTGCTTATTTCAGCTGCCTCCTGTGTCTCCCCACCTACCAGTTCTGCCTGGTCCTTTCTTTAAATATCCCCCTTTTTATTTAATGGTAGGCAACCTGACAGACAAGAACACAAAAAGAAACCAAACCTCACATAATATTATTACAGATAACAAGTCTTCTTTCCTCTAAAATTGTCACAGCATTTTTATTGATTAAATAAGAAGCAGGTAACATTGGAGGGCCTGCTTGAAAAAAAGTGAGGTTTATGGAAATAATAATATGTTTTTATAATGCATCTTTCTGATGGTTCTGCTAGTAAACCTAAATAATCTGTATCTCTAAGTATGATAACATGAGCTGTAATATGATTCTCTTCATAAGGTAATGTTTGAAACAAGAACCTCTGCTCCTCAGTTACTCCTACACCATCTTCCCCTACCTCCCCACACCATGTCTACCCAGATCAGATCCTCTTTCTCAGCTTAGTTGATTAGGGCAGGGAGACAATGTCACCTGGGCTTTCCAAGCTTGAAGAGAGAAGTACTTCCCCCTCTTCCATTGAGAAGCTTCCAAAGGACGGGTATAGCATGACTAGCAATGCACATATATATACATATACAAAAGTCCGAGCTTACAGTAGGGAGAACACCTTATGCATGCTGCAGCACAAGACTGCAGAGGCCAGGTGTGCTGCACCAACACTTTGCATCAAAGACAGACACCAAATGATGCTGGGGTCTGCAGTGGGAAACGAGCAATCTGCTGGCATGGCACTGCCCACTGCCAAGGCCAACACTCTTGGCAAGCACCTGAGTCAGCAGGAAAAGAGCCCATGGCTGTTTTCATGTGATAAAATCCTTCCTGATATCTGCACCCTTGCCTTGCTAAAACATGGACAGAGGAATAAGGAGAGATGAAGGAAGACTGAAACACCAAATTTTCTTTTTTTTAGCTAGAGAAGACAATTCCCACCTACTGCTCACCCTGGTTTGTGTCCTGTTGACACCCCCGAGTAGTTACCACGCTGGAGGGAGGAGGTATCAACCCAACTACCTGAGGCATGCCTACATGCTTCTCTCTGAAATGCTTCAGGGTATGCTAGAAGGGGGTTGCATTCTATCCTGGACCATGTGTGTTTTGCAGATTAAAGATTATATTTATACCCATAGAACAAGTGGACCTGGAGTTTTTTATTTTTTTTTTTTTTTTGATAGTTTCATAGAATAGTTAGGGTTGGAAAGGACCTTAAGATCATCTAGTTCCAGCCCCCTGCCATGGGCAGGGACACCTTGCACTAAACCATGTCACCCAAGACATGGCATCATGTGCGTTCCCTTGTTAGCCCCTGCAGAACTGTGAAGCAGTTCTGGGTTGGGGATGTCAGATTTTAAGGGAAGCCCCCTGTTTTTGACTGTATCTTTTTTGTTTTTGTTACTAGCTCCCAGCTCCCGGGATCACTGCCCTCCTCCTTTTCTGTGTGCGCTATGAGGGACGCTTGAGGCCCCTGCCCAGTCTGGGCCCGGAGCAAGCAGTCCAGCTCCCTCAGCTTCCCTGACACCTTTCAGCTACTGACAGTGCCCCGCAGCTCAGCCCCCAGTGCAGGAGGACCTCCACCACTGCGGACCGAGCGCAGCCCTTCCCGTTGTGCACCCTCGCCTCACGAGACCCGTGCAGGCTCTTTCTGCACCCCGAGCTCCGCGCTGCAGCCTCCCCTCTCATCGGCTCTGCCTGGTGCCGACGCTGCCACCGCCGGGGCAGCCAAGAGCAGAGCTCCCAGAATGGGTCCTGGCCCTGAGGCGAGGGCTCCCCATCCCGCCAGCGTTGCCTGCCCCGGCGGCCGCCCCACGCGCTGTTACCACGCCCCCTGGGGCGGGCTTTCCCCGCTCAGGGCGGGGCCGTCCCTCCGGGCTCCGCCCCCTGCGAGTCCCCGCCCGCCTCAGCGGAGCTGCCGGCTCCTGGGCAAGGCCCGGCGAGGGCTCGAGGCTCCCTGGGTGGCTCTCGCCGCTCGGAGCTGAGGCTCCTGGACGCGGGGTTTCCCCTCGCTCTGGTGCTGAAGGCTCCTCTCTGGAGCTGCTCAGCTCGGGAAATGACGAGGTTCATACATAATAAAACAGAGCACTTCGTTGCTGGGCACAAGCTCAATCTAAGTCTTTCTTGAAGAGAAAAAATGATCTGAATTTAGATTAGTTGGGTTTATGGACATGAAATGCCTTAAATGGGCACGCCCTCCATTTGTCACGGAATCTTTTGTTATAGTTAACACCATCAAAAAGTTATTTGATAGATTCAAACTAATAATTTGTTGCTTTAACTGTATGACAATTTTAACTTTGGAGGTAGCTTGCCTGGTTGGTGTGGCAGTGTCTGAATTTACAAAACAATGAAGAATCATGAGGTTTCTACACCTCAGGGTTTCATGATGGTATAGCTTATGATCAGATATCTATGTAAAAGTAGACATCTACAGCTGTATTAATAGGTCTGCATCATTCTCCCTTCAGAGGTGAGATGATAGAGACATTTTGTGAATATCAGTATCCTAGCACTTGAGATTTTTAGATGGGTCAGAGTAATTGCAACCCAAAAGTGGGATTTCTTCCCATCTGCTGCTAAGAGTTCATTCCCGTGGTGACCAGCTCAGATGTAGGTGTCTGCACTCAAATACTTTCAGTTAGGTGAGGTGACAGTCAGGGGCAACTTGGTTTTGAATAACTGTCATGTTTACATCAAAATAACTAAAGCGCTACAACACCAAAGCACCATAAGACCAATGCTGTTCTTCATTGGTTGCTGTTTCCTTACAGAAATTGTACCAAATGTACAATGGCTAGACTTGTTATTTAGTCTATGTGGCTTGGAAAGACCACACATGGAGTGAAAGAAGGAGGAAGAACAGAAAAAGAAAGGAATATTGGTGAATGTATCACGTTTTGACAGTTCTCATGGAATCGACAGGAAATCCCGTTGTTTACATTACTATCATTATTGTACCACAAGAAGAATAATCAATTAAAACTGGCAAGAAACATTATTACTTATAACACAGGTTTATATGAATATAAAGTCTTCTTTTGTCTCTTTGATCCCTCTGTTTTTAAGAACTGACATATAAGGAACTTGCAGGTGTTTCCTTGTGAAAATAATTTATGTTAGAAGGGACCTCTGGAGGTCAGAGCAGGTCTAATTTCAACATAGCCTTAGCTTGCTTAGATTCATGTTCTGCAAAAAAATCGGGGTGCTATGTAGCAAACACGACATCCTGTAAAGGAACTTCATGACAGCGTCTTCAAAAAAACTCTGTGAAGATCACAAGCCCTTGGTCTGTAGCAGATCTTGGGGCAATGGGCCTTTTTGTTTTCTCAGTTTTGTTCTGAAAGTATCTGCCAACAAAAATAAACTCTGTGATGGGCTGTTCATCTGAAAAAGTCAGCCACAGGCCAAGTCTCTCCGTTTACTCTGAATGAGATATTCAGGTCATTTAGGTTATAACTCTCCTCAGTTCCCTATGGAGGAGCTCAACTTCATTGAGTATGAATGTAAGTTAGCCTCCTAATTTGAGAGTATAAATTGTGTGTCTAAATGCAAATGACATAAACATTAATCCACCAATATCTCCAAGAGTAA